TCGAATGGGCACCATTCGACTCGATCGATTCGATTCGACTCTGGGTGGGGAATTCGACTCTATTCGAAGAGAGAAGCCTCATGTTGTCAACCTGTCGTGGGTCTTCGAAGCCTCCTACGAGGTACTTGGAGCCTCCCGAAGGCTTCGAGGGTTTGGTGGGAGACGACCTCTATGAGGCTCAGGCGGAGTTGCCGAGTGTTGCGGTGGCCTTGTTGGATGAAGAGATTCCAGACCCAATGGGGTTAGTATGTAACAAGAGTAGTATGTATAACTGAGTATAACTGCCTGGTTCTTCAAAGTGACCTTTTGATAACCTGGTTTGAGGTCACTTAAGCCTCCTAAGGGTCACAAAAGGTCACTTTGAAGAAGCTGCAGTAAGAGGATTCTGTTCGTCCTCTTCGTGACTTGATTCGAGCCCTTCTGAGAGAAGGAAAGCGTGGTTCGACCTGGTGAGGAGGTTGGACCGCAGTCCGGTCCGCGCGAGGTGAAATATAAGACGAAGATGCTGGGGAATATTCGGCTGGTCGGCCAGCTGATCAGACATGGCATGTCACAGACTCGGAAGAGCTTTCTCTGGGCGGGGACGGCTGAGGTTTCAGAGGTGTTCAGAGGAAGTTTCTGCTCTGGGACATATTGCCAGACACGGATTTTCTCGGGTCCACTGGCGCAAGAGCTGACAGAGAATCTGAGTAATTTCTTAGTTGAAGAAAGAGACTTGTTCCGTTTCACAAATGTTCACAGAGGTTCACAGCTGTTCATGGATACCCCCCGCTGCAGATGAACATGAGAGTCCAATCTGCAGGAGGGTACCATTTGGGAACATGGCTTGCTCCCAATCGTTGCGGACCGAGGCTTGCTCCCAAAATTGCCATTGCGGTTGCCACGGAGCTGGCGGGTTTGGTGCCCGGAACACCGGCTTGTGTGGAACGGGAACCGCTGGATTTAGGAGGGGCTTGAAATGCAAGACCATGAGATGCGATGTGGGGCCTTTGTAGGGTATGTGACCACCACTGTTTGGTTTGGGTCCTTTTGGCTTCCCCTCCATAAAAAACCTCTCACATCTCACATCTCGCGAGAGCGGCAGGTGAGGATCCCGCGGTGCGTGGCGAGCGGCTGGAAACGCTGGCCACCTTTCTGGTCGTGGCCCCCGGAACCGGCTGCGGCGATTCGGGGGGGGGTGAAGACTCCGGTTGAAGGTCTTCAGAGAATGAAGTTGACTAGGTGTAGGGCAACAAAGTTGAATCTGAAACTAATCACTAGATTCTAGTCCATTGACATGCAATCACCATTGTTGAGAAAGTGTTCCGTTTGAAGAATTGACTCAGGAAACCGTTGGAGTGGCCTTGGATGACCCCAGTGCTGCCGCCGCGTTTTGGACTGTGCTTGGAAGTGTTCACGGTGAGAATGGGCCCCATGCACTTTCACGAGCTCACATAAGCATGGGGATGAAACAGTACGAAACAGCTCACTGCCAGGCTGGAAGCATCACAGTGAGCTTGAATTGGTTTTCACGGAGGCACTCCATGTCTTTTCCTCGCAATGTTTTGGGGGGGAAGGTGCGCGGTGGGGTGCGCACGAGTGGGAGGTTTTTCAAAAAGAATAGGGTTTGTTGATCTGAGATAACCCCTTCAAAATGCCTCAAATGAAGACCCTCAGAATGATTCAACATGTGCCATGGATATCCACTGTCCTTTTTACATTTTACTACGTCTGGCTGCGGGTCTCCTAATCACATTTTTTGCTTCTGCAGCGTCCGCTTGATCTTCACAGCCGAGTGTCAGCTTGCTCAGCTCGGGCGAACACCCTTACGAGGTTGAGCGCGCCTCTGCTGACAAGAGCGTTCCCCGCCGAGTTCGCTGCTTGCTTCAGGACCGCAATGGATTTCTCGGTTGTGGGAGAAGTTTGGCTGGGTTGCAGATGAACTCTGCCCTGGGCGCTGGGCTCCCACAAGCCTGGGAACATGAGTCCCATCTCATCCCTTCTTGCTGACTTTCACACAAAGGGTGCAAGGGACTGCTAGACCCATGTTTGGTATTGTTTGGATGCATGACAAGGTGATACATTATGGGATCAGCATCTGAACGCAAATCCGATTGCAAGTCAGGATGTTCTGGATCTTCGAAAGGAGGGATGGAAATCCCAAAGGCGCTGCTGGGGTCGCGATCATTGCTCAGACTGAATCAAATCCTCAGGTGTCGTGGTTGAGCTATTGCTGTACCCTCGGAAGATGCATTCTTGAGGTTTTGCTTTTGCTTTTGTCCTGACGGCCATGAAGCAGAATGACAAGTTCTAGAGTCAGACTGCCATTGCCTCTGTGCTGCCAGGCGGAAAGATTTAACCAAAGAAACTCCGCAGACCCTTGCTCAAGTGCATGAGCAGGCGCGCTGGGACGCACGACCGTCCACACAGTTGTTGCAGAAATTGATGTGTATGTCCTACAACGAGTTCCATCATGAGTGAGAGTGCGCCCCCCAAGCATTGGATTTACACTGAAACAAACTCCCATCCCAACAAACATAAGGGTCTTTGGAGAAATGCCCATGAAGGGCTCATTTGAGAGATGTTGCTGGAACCGCGTCCGCTGAAGGCCAAGGGTATTGAAGAATCCACCAACTCATGAAAAGACCTCCGCTCTAAAATAGTCACCCACGCTCGTCCATGGATCCATTCATGCACCCCCAATATATCCAAGCAATCAACGAGATAGAATCATACAGTGTTCCGAGACCGAGACGCACTTGATTGGAACTCCCACCAAGATCAAACATTTTCAACCAGCCAGGCCTATGTTAATTCATAGCGGATGTCGTTTATGCACCTAAAAATTTCAAGCATTGAGAAGCAGGACTGATTCTAGAGCAAACATGAACCTTGCTCACTGGTTCCCACTCCTCCGCTCCTTCCAAAAGCCCGAAAAACATCGCGCCCACCCACCGCACTGAAAGCTCCAGGCCAAAGCTGACCAAGTGCCGTTGAAGAAGGAGATCACACGAAGCGTGCAAAAGGCTTAGTGAATCTTTCACCACCGTGGCAGTGAGACGTGACGTGGCAGACCGGCGCTCACGCTGACGGTTGGATATGTTGGATTTGATGACCTTGACTCAGGTCATACAGGTAGGAGGCCTGCGTCACTGGTGGGAGACATCTGCATAGCTTTGAGTGGATTTCCGCAGAGCCACAGCATCAGTGTATTGTGCATTGTGCACACAGGCAGAGTATGAGTGCTGCGCCATGTTGGAGACTCAGATGATCGCAGCGCCTGAGTGCTGGCGCCGCAGCGCAGCTTGCGGCGCAGCTTTGTTACGAAACCAAAGACGACGCCTCAGTCGTGCCGGGTTAGCGTCGCGGCGCGCCACTTCAAAGGCAAAGCATCCGCGTGGGATCTTCCAGGCGCGCGCGCGGGCGCGTGCGCGCAGCTTCGCTGCGTGAAGCGCTGCGCGCCAGTGTGAGCTGCGCGCCACACAGCTGCGGCCGTGGGCTGTTTTTCAGTGGCGGGATGGATAACGGTTTGACAGATGGGGCACAGGATCAAATTGCTCCCCACAAAACCCGCTCCATGTAGCAATCCATCACGTGTTTTTTTCCGCCTGGGAAGATGAGGATCCGACTCCTGAGTCAGACACGTGGCTGCAGGAGTTAACGAAATGTTCTGAGCCGAGCCCTTGCTTGGGTTTCATTGCAAACGAGGCTGAGTTGTCAGCCGGGGGAACGCGTCACACCGCGGGTGTGACATGTTCGCAAAGTGTCAGTCCACGGTGAAACTGCCTGCACCAAACATTCGAGTCCGGTGTTGTGTTGGCTCAGAGACCCAGCATTGGAGAGACAGAGAATGAATAATGTAGCTTGGGCAAATGAGTTCGCCGTTGGCACCCATGCTGCATCCGTTTCATGTCTTGAATGCAATTTCAGTACTTTGAAGTAATTTCAAAATGTTATGCTAGAGGCTTAGGGGGTCAGCTATAGATGAAACTTGGTGGAAGCTTGAAATGCTTGCAGCATGAGCACAACCGTGTTCGTGCCTGTGCGTCCATGCCCTCTGTTAATAATTTAATCCAGCAATTCCAAGGCGATCATAAGCCAAAAGGCTGCAGAAGGTGTCGAGAACCGCAATTGCCGCAAGTGAAAAGAGATGAGCCAATCACAGCTGGGAGGTGTCCCCATTTCAAGAACTCATTTCTCTTGATTGGCAGCTGGTGAAAGATGATAAAGGAGCTCGATCCAGCTTTGCACCTTCTGCGGATGATTGGTAGCCCGAATTGCTTTTTGGCCGTCGAGAAAGTCCTGCGTGCGGGCACAAAACATGTGGCCCAGTCCAATGGGGCAATTGAAAGATTCATTCTGATGTGACAGCCAAGCCATCCATTGGTCGCCACCTACAGGTGGAACAGTTGTTCGACTTGTGAGGTTTGCTCAGAAAGTAGGTTGGCTTGGAGTGCTTTGATATTGAGCTTGGTATACCTTGGCGTTCACTTGTTACTTGTTAGTCAATGGAATGTCAGGCACACTTTAAACTTTAGACAATATCCAATGGTATTGAGTTGAGTGCTGTTACTCAAGGCTGAAAAGACAAGCGTGGGAAGCAACTTGACTTTTGCTCAGCCATCTTGCTGAGAGCAGTACTGTAGATGGAATGCAGCGAGCTTGAGCGTCAAGAAAATTCAATGAGTGTGGTACTTTCCGCAAAACATCCTACAGAACAGTACTGTACATACATCCTACGCAGACCAGAGTTGGGGTGGGATGTGTAGGGATGTGTAGACCAAAAGGCGAACCAAACCAACCGTGAGGAACAAACCAACCGTTGTTTGATCCGAAAGATCCAGTCTCGCCATGTCTCGCCCTTTTCGTTGGGTCGACCCCTCCTTGACCGACCGACCGAAGAAAGGGAAGTGCTACGATTTGGGGCGAAGGCTTCTTCTCAGACGTTCTCCAAACGGGGAAGGTTTTTTGAGGTCTTTTTGAGGTCATAAGGTGTACAACAAAACCTTTTTTTTGAAATTCTTAGAAAGACATTCTTCTCACAGAAATCACCGTTTTAATTGGCCTCTGCAATGGCAGGGTGCTAAGAAGCCTTTCATTTGCGCCTGCATGGCACGCGTGGGACATGGCAACGCGAAACGACCCAAGGTGGGCGATTCTCTGTACTTTTTCAAGTCCAGAGGGGTCCAGAGGGATCATGGGAAGACCGACATGGAGATCCGCATGGGAACTCCTTTCAGTTTGGGGAAGACGACCTGAACATGGACCACGTGATTGGTCGGACCGGCGCCGGTTCCACTAGAACCTGGCGATCTGGGTGGGGAGTCCGTAACTGTTTGGGTCCGATTCCGCAGCTGGGGTTCCGCAACTGGGGTTCCGGAACTGGGAACCCGCAACTGTTTGGATTCAACTGGGATTTTCTGGTGCACCACTGGGCAAAGGTGGGGCGTGGGATTGGACTTGCATCAAAGATGCTACATGTACACATGTGTTGGAAGTTTCGGGGTTGGGGGTGGATCAATGATCGTTCCATTGGGAGTATGAGGATGAAGTGCATTGTGAAACGAATCCGTCAGGTTCTGAATAAAAGGAGTTGAAGCTGGAATATGTAAACTGTGATTCTGAAACTGGGCTCACCAAGTGCCATGCCAAGCACCGTTTCAGAAGCCTTCAGTTTCAGGCGCATCGTTTCAGAAACCCAATTTCAGAATCTGAGTTTTTCAGTTCACAATACCAGTTTCATAATCCCAGTTTACAGTTTCAATGCGGAGCTGCTGTGGCAGCCTCCGAACAGACGAGCCGATCTTTCAAGCGAGGCGCAGCGGAAGAAGCTTGGCACGCATGCACGTGTTGATCGACGGGCGGCCGAGGAGCAAGTCTTGCTGGTACCATTTTGGTATGTCGAACGTGAGCAGGGCCCTGGAAGAACCAACAGTTCAAAGATAAAATTAGCCAAATCCCAGTGGTTGGATTTGTTGGCAGATTTTTACTCTTGCTGAGCCAAGCCATCCCAAGGTGACTTCAAGTCATATCGAACCCAAAGTTGTATATATCATATATTATATATAGTATATATTATAGTTTTTTTTTTTTGTAATGTTTATTTTTAAACCTATTTTTACACAGACAGGACACAAGAGTTGCTAGCGCCACGAAGACATGACCTATACAACCTGAATCCAGAGGATCACAGTGGACCTTCGGCGGAGTTTTCACCCGGAGCCTTTGAACGGACCATGAGCAGTGACCTTGACTTTCTGCCGCGGCCACCCACCGGCCGTGGCCGTGCCGGCCCTGGTGCTTCGCGCGGAGCCACCGGCATGCAGGAGGCCGAACTGCAGCGCCTGGAGGAGAGGATCCGCGCCGAGTGCGGGAAGAGCCGCGCCAAGGCCAAGAGCAGCGAGGACGGTGCGAAGGCCAAGGCGAGGGAGGAGCTGGAGGGGTATGATCATCATTCTGGACTTCTATGACGGAATATGTTTCCATGCAGCTGCTTGAGTTGTCGTCCTCGAGTTGAGATCCCAAGAATCCCCGGGTGGCCGTGAATGCGACCCGACCGCGTTCAATTCGGCGCGGGGCAGGGTGGGCCAGCTCTCACGGGCTCCTTCTTCAAAGACTTGCCGATCTCCAAGCGAACCCTGCGTGGGCTTCAGGCCGCCGGTCCGGCGAAACGATGTCCGTGCCAGCGATGAGGCCGAGAGATGCGTGAACCACGCAGGATAGGGGAGAATAGCGGAGAATACAAAGTGATGCAGGGGAGAGGTTGACTTGGCCCAGTACTTGAAAGATCTTGAAAGATGCATATGGCAGTTTTTGGTGATTCAATTTGTCTGTTCTTACGGGTCGCCGTTTGTTCCATTCATGTTTGGGGTTTCGCGTCGCACGATCAGGCATCGAAGTATGTCAAGATGACTGAGATTCAAAGTGGAGCGATTCCGCCAGCTCTCTTTGGTGCCAACCTGAGTATCTCTGCCAGTCTCCTGGGCGCAGCTCGTTACCCGCAGCGCAGCTCGCGACCCGCCTTTTTTTCGCGAGCTCGAGATCTAGACCTAGGTCGGGACATCATGGGCGAAGCGCGGACGGGCTCCGGTAAGACTTTGGCCTTTCTGATTCCCGTGCTGGAGCGCCTCTACAGGCGGATGAACTTTCGTTCTTTCATATGTTCTTTCTTATTTTTGCCGAGCTGGGAGTGAAGATGAAACCAGGGTGCCCAACTCCACTGTTATAGGTCCAGCATGCTATCAGCTCGGAAAAAAAACCGACAAAAAGGGGTGGGGTGTTGTTTCGGTGCCCGGTGGTCCACTGCTCCACTGCTATCTTCGTTGCGTAAGGAGTCGCTGGAGCAACTTGGACGGGCTTGGTGCCGCGATCGTCCGGAGGCCCAAAGCGGGCGACGGCACGTGCGCAACTTCACGCAGCGCGCAGGTGCGCTGCGCGGTCTCTTGCCCTCTGAGGTTTCTCCAACTCGGGAACTTGCCTATCAGATCTTCCAGGTGAGATCTTTTAGCTCGGGATAGTATATAACTTGCATGAAGAAGCAAGTAGTAGCTTCACGACGGAGACGAGAAGAGGCGGAAACGAGAAGGAGCAACCTCCATGTTTTTGTTTGGCGAACATACTTTTAGGATTTTCTAGGCGTGCCACACGTTTTTCTTGTTTTGGCTTTGTGGCAAGTGCGTTGAGATCTTTACTGCAACTCCTCCAACGAACGGTTCTGCAGCCAGGTCCTGTCCAACATTGGACAAGAGCATGAGCTTTCCGCTGGATGCATTGTGGGCGGTCGTTCTCTTGAAGAGGAGAGCCCTGACAGAATCTCAATGAACCCACCCAAACTCTCCGTGTTCCTTTCCTTTTTTTTCAGACCAAAGACCGCTTGCCTGCAAGCCCTCTAGGCCCTAGTGTTGCAGCAGACATCAATCCAACACGCTAGGGAGTCATGACCCCGAATTCCATGGGTCGCGGTGGACCCGTGGAGAAAACCGACCTCACCGTGGATCGCACCGCAGGAGCAGAACGCCGTGGCGACGATGAGCATGCTGGTGGCCACGCCTGGCAGGCCGACGGACGACGACGACGGGTCCGTGGGTGATGCGTCCAGGTTCCCCGAGCGTTTTCTGGCTTCGTAGAGAGCATCGTAGAGAAGACTTGAGGTGAGAACATTCCCGACGGCGAGAAGCGCATTTTTGGTTTGTGCACGAAAAATGCACCCGTTCAGCAGCGCAGCTTTTTTCGCCGTGCGAAGCCTGCACGATTGAACTGCGAAGGTTCCTGCAGCACTTGGATGAATCACCGGGCTTCGAGGCTGCCTCTTTGTTGATCCTGGTCTACCCAGCCAGTTGCAGCCAGGACTTTAAAAGTCCAAGTCGAGTCGATCTGATCAGTTGCAGCTGAAGACTTTGGAGGTTTTAAGGGGAGCCATTTTGTCCCGCAAGACTTGGATGATCTTGGATGTATATTTACTTCCGTTTCACAGCTCATTGTCATTGATTTTCCCATTGTTGCACAGGCCAACACTTGAACACGGATTGTACGTGCGAGAAGCTTCCCACTTCAGTTGAGCTGCCCCTTGAGCACTCCGGATCTCAACGGTGTTTCAGCTGGACACTTCTACTTGCTCGTCTCCATTTTCTTCTGCTCGTCGTGGGGAAGACGCGGCAGGTGATCGACGAAGCAGACCGGATTTTGGACTTTGGCTTTCAGGTGCCTTCGATGCGATGGATGAGAGACAGAAAACCTTGGTGGATCAGTGGATCCGCTTCACTTGACCTATTACCGGTGCCGAACGGGAGGTGTTTCTGAACGGGAATGGACATCAAAAGAGCACACATTTGCAGAAACCATCACAAAATCACAAACCAAACTCTTGCACAGCTGGCTGGGAGGGAGCTGGGCATCCCGCACCCTTTTGCCAGCCTCTGAGTCCCCGGTCGGTCACGCACTGCTGACATTCGGGGCACTCGGTGAACTGCGGGGGTGCCAAGACGCAGATGCGACTCCAAACCATCCCGAACCCTTTTGAGGATCCACTTGATCTTCCCAGGATCCTTGCCTATGAGCTTTTTCTTTCAGTCCATTTTGGGGCACCTGCCTCAGGAGACCATGCAGAACATTCTGGGCCAGCTGCCTGGCGAGCGGCAGACGTGGGGTTGCCCGGGTGGCGGCAGGTTTTTGGGACCTCGAAGATATTTTCACTGAAAAGGCGGGCGACACAGGCTATTTGATGGGCCTTTTGCTTTGAGCAGGAGGACACCGCAAAAAAAACGGTCTGGAACTTTTCCCAGCAGGTCTCCTCGAGCACATCTCTCATCCCAGGCATGGCAGAAAGTAAGGTCCCTTCCATCCATCCCCCGGCACCGACGGGCGAGCCGGGCTTTCGCCCAGCTCCGCCCCCCTCGGGTCGGGCCGCGGAGGTTGTTGTTTTCCGCCACGTTGCACGGCAGCGTCCACCGCCTCGGTCGCGCGGCGCTGCGCTCCCCGGAGGCCGGGAGCGGTCGAGAGACGGGAGAGACGGGGTGAGGTGAGGGAGACGGGAGCCAACGGGGAGCCAGGGAAGAAAGGGTTGGGTTGGAGAAAGGACAGGCACCCCTATCGCACCCAACCGTTTTTTAGTGACTCGGTGTCTTTTTTTGAAAGAAACTGCCCACACATCCCAAGCTGTGCATCCAGGAACCTTGGCATCAGGGTGACCCTTCGGCCCTTGGTGGCTGCCCAAGGTGATTTCAGTCCATCATGATGCCACGAGCCGTACTCCTGACACGTTGAAGTGTGGTCCCGAGGATGGATAGAAACGTGACGTGACGTGTCGACACGGGACACGGGATTCCTCGTTCGCGCGGAGTGAAGGGTGGTGAAGTGTGTTGAGGATGCTCAAACGAATGGGACGGACGACGTCGAGTAGTAAGTGACAGACTAAGAACGCGACTCGGAGACTGCCAAGGCAGACCTACATGATCTTGCCGTTGGAGAAGAAGGTTGACACACTCTTTTCCTTCTTGCGTCCAGTCCTTTGCTCTTCAGCACGAAAAACGCCTTGTTGGTGCCGAAAAGGCTTGGTGATGACAAGTATTGACAAGTACTAGTAGGCAAAACATGCCAACTCTTCAGAACCCTTAGGTCCAGCCTTGGGACCAAGGCTCACACTCGCAGAAGAAGATCATTGTTTTCGTATCTACCTGCAAACAAGTCCGGCCATGACCTCAACGTGAGATTTGTGGATCGTAGCGGAATGACCGCATCACTCTGAACTGCGAAAACCATTCTCCAATAATGAACCGCTGAAAAGCTGAGGTTCTTCTATGAGGCATTCTACAAGCTCGCACCTCACTTTGTTCCTGGCATTTTCCACTTCTCTTAGCCTTTGACCATTCAGAGGTACCCATGATTCGAAAAAAAACACCAGAGAACTCGTCGTTCTAACAGCTCACCGGACTCCTTCTTCTTCGCATGGCTCATACCGAATACCATCACATCAGGTTGAAGCCAGGCCCGGCAGTCATGGAGCTCCATGGCCGTCAAAGCCTCACGAAACGGATGCTGGTCTTCCAACAGTTCATGGACCGCGCCTCGGACCAACGGGCTCGGACGGAGCGACCCGGGGATGGATCGGTTGGACAACACCCGGATGCCCTGCGACTGGGGATGGGTGCGGCTCGGGCAACATGGATCTGGGATCTGCTTTGGACTGTTTGTTTTTTTTTTGAGAACATGGATTGCAAAGGAGAGCGCGCGGTCGCATTGTTTTGCACTGACATCGCAGCCCGTGGTCCAGGTCTTAGTTCTTCACCTTTTGCACTTGCACTGCCTATTTTGCACTTACATCTCTACCTCGATCAGCCTGGCTTGCTTCTTCGCTTGTGACAGCAAGGTGTTGATTTTCCGGCCGTGGACTGGGTGGTGCAGGTGAGCGCCGAACCTCCACACTTTTCGCGCCGAACATCGAACACCGAGCTTCATTCGAAACAGGTGGACTGCCCGGACGGCGTCGACTCCTACATTCATCGCGTGCCGCCCCCGGAGAACGCGTCCTGTTTCCCCCCCTCCGCGCGACGAAAACGCGCGATATGTCGCGTGTCCTCGCGCGCGTGTCGCGCGATGGAGTCTTGCAGGTTGGGCGGACGGCCAGATATGAGAGCCGGAGCCCTAAAATTGGTGCAGGAGAACATGCAGATTGTTGAGATTAATGTGGCAATTGGACTGCGTCTCACATTGTTTGAGATTCGCTCTTGGGGGATTGTGAGGCGCGGGCAAATCAGCTCTGTTCCTTTTGCCTTCGGAGCAAAGCTTTGCCCAGAAGCTCTCTAAGGTTTCTTTGGCTCGAGTTACTGGAAAGTCACTTTCCAGCATGTTCTAGGTGTTCTAGCTAGCTGTTGTCAAGACCTGTTGGAATCTGCAGCAGTTTGCAAACCTCCAAGTAAGCAGAATTCAGTTTAACAGGTTCTGGTGCTCCCTTTCCTCACTTGGCAGGCAAGAGTGGAAGTCCGTGCCATCACCGCAAAGCAGAACAAGGTCCTTTCCATCCAGTCCCAACTGGAGCTGCACTCAGCGTCAGATCTGAGCTTGCTGGAAGACCCTGCCAGGAAACAGGAAGAAAGAGAACCATCCCTACTCCCGTGGGTTTTGTTTGGTTTCGCTGTTGCTGTTGGGTGGTTGAACTGGCTGAACCAACTGCAGTCGACAATGTGGCGGAAGCCAAATTACTAGAAGAAACATCAACAGGAAACTATGGTTTTCATGCCCGACACTCATCTCGCGGGCTGTCTGTCGCACTTCCACTATGAGTACTACGTGGGGTACCAGAGGTTGGTAATGAACAAACAGTTTATTGGACAAAAAACATGCAACCACCTCCAGAGTTCAAGAACTGGCTAAAGCCACGGCTCGAAGAATGCCGAAATAAAATGTGAATTACAGCGAAGAGTAGGCATCTAATTTATGCGTTGGCGGAAAGGTTAGAGATCTTGTTTATTTCGAAGACACTTTTTGAGACATTGATAAAGATTATGGCGCTTGCCAAAAGGGATATCAGGAGGAAATGATTCTGTCAGGACAGCAGAATCAAGAATTGGAACAAGTGGTAGGCACACATGAAGGGGGTAAGGTTGATTTTGCATAGCCCGAGAGAAATTCATTGCTTCATCTTGTTGGGGCAGAGTGGGACGAGATGCAATCCCTCCAATCAAACTCCGATGGAAACCAATGCATACAAGTGATGTTGCACCTTGTTTTAATATTGCTTTAATATCGCGGGTAGAGGCGATTTTGACATGTGCTTTCCAAGTACGTGACCACTGCTCTTGAATTCGATGCTTGATGCCACAAGCTCTTGACTTTGGTGGTTGGATATGAACTTGTGGGGAGTCAAAATCATAGATCCAAATAGAGAGGCAGGATCCAGTATAGAGGAAGAAATGAACCGCAAGTTCATACCACCGTATGGTTTTCATCCCCCCAAACTATGGGTTTCCTCCAGATTTTTCCTTGACCAAGTCTGGGACAAAAGCGACCAAAACACCTTAAGGCCTCACTGTTGGCCGGGTCTGGCGACATTCGGCACCTTGCACAACGGGCCTTCGCATCCTACCTTCGTTCCGCCGCGTGGATGAATCAGGGCCAGTGGGCGTTTTTTTTTTTGTGTGAGTGGGGTGTATATACCAGCACCTCCAACAGGTCACCAATTGAAACCTGTTAGGGCCTTTCCCAACCCTCCATTTTGGAGACCTGTTGGGTTCGGTGCTGGTAGATGATCTCTTGCTCCGGTGCGCAGGGCCAGTATGGGACCCACAACCGATGGGGATGACGTTTGAATCCTTTCACCTGAAAGGGGATAGACTAGACCCTCTTCGGAAACACCCCCAATTCATCCTAACTCAAGAGACTCAAGTTGGCTCAGTGCGCCTTGACATAGCTTGACATGGGGATGGGTCGTGACCCACCATGTTCGCTCCACCAAGTTCGCTTCGGACAAAAGCCACCGGTCGTGGGCTCTCCAACCGGTCTGGTGACCCACAGCCAGATCAACCTCCCACTCCTCTGACTGGTGCTTCCTAGGGAATGAGGTTCCCCTCATTCCCTCCCAATACTACTCCCATCCTTCGGTTCCAGCCGACCAAACGAACCACCGGGCGGGCGGATTCGGCCGGCTTTCGGCCGGGCGGACATGGGCCGAACGACCCAGGTTCGACTCATGAAGGACAAGGAGATCTTCGATGTGCAGGACGCCACCGCTGTCCGGGGGGGGGGGAACGGCGAGTCCGCGCCGAACGGCGAGTCCGCGCCGCGCCGAACGGCGCCACTGCGAAGGGGAGAGTTGACTCCGAACGACAAAGGATGGGATGGCTCGACCACACCTCGCACGAAAAGCCTCGAACAGCCCGAAGAGCCCCAGACCCCCGAACTCCCTCCGCGCCCGGACGCTCTGCGCCCTCCGAACTCGGTGCGCCCCACGTGCGCGGTTTCCGGAGCTGCGAGGCGTTGTCCAAGGAAGCCTTCGCCGAGTCCCTGGGCTTGGCGGACGTGCCGGATCTGGGCGCCGACTGGGAGGCCGCCGCAGGAGGAGGGGTGAATGATGGTGAATGCATGCTTGAACGCTGGTTTTTCGTTTCGCTTCGTCCAAAAACAAAGGTTCGAACGTGGCGAAAAGGTGGGAGTGAGGGTGGCTCTTGTGATTTAAGGGGGGAGCATTTTAGGGCACTGGAGGGGGGTTGGTGGAGTCAATATGGAGACTGGTGAGACTATGGGGGACTTTCCCGAAGAGCTCCTGGTGGCCCCGTGTTTGGCTGGCAACTTCAGTCCCCCACACCAGTATACCAAATACATCCAAATACCTCGAACAGGATGAGAAGGATCGAACAGAGTCGAAATGAGAACAGCACCTACTGAACCATCTACCTCCGGGCCAGGTGGTTCTCATTCCAGTAGTAGTCAGGCAACCGCCACCTGAAAAAGCTAAGTCGATCGAACTGAGTCGAAATGAGATGGCACCTTCTTCCGCCGGATGGCCTCTTTGAGTCGAAAACGCCATTTTTTCTCTGCCTTCCAGGCTGGGGATGATGACGTGGAGCGGAATAAGATGAAGAAGAAAAAGAATCAATCTGCTTTGCAACGGCTTAAAGAGAAGATCAAAGCCAAGAAGAAGGATCGGAGTCTCCAGAATTGAAAAACCAGCTGACAGTTGGCGACAGCAACTGTTTGACCTGCCTTGTTTGAAGGACAAAGATAAGGATGCAGCGAAAAGGGAGGAGGATTGCACGTGTTGGTGGCTTGCCTGTCATTTGATTTGGCTTCAGAACCGCTTGACCAGGAGGAAGAAGAAGAGCGGGAGCTCACTCAGAAAGACGGTGCCAAGAAGAAGATTGGCAAGTGGGAGAGGCGGCAACGACGCATTGCCGCTGCTGGGAAGGTGGCAGAGGATGATGATCCTGGCGAAGAGGAGGATGATTTCCTCAAGCCGGTCGCCCAGGAGGCACATGAGGCACCAATCGCCCCTCCCAGTGTGAGTGGCAACAAGAAGATCAAGCTCCGCAAAGATGGCTCGGCTGTTCAGGTGCGGAAGACGTGAAACAATGGCACCGGTGCCTCCGTGCATCTCTTTTGATAATCACCTATAGGATTGGATCCCAAAAAAGAGCCTATGCCAGCGTCACAGTATGAGTATCATGGACAAAAAACAAGTAAGCATCGCATCCATCATGGCCCTGGTGACGTTGCCGCGCTTCTTTTGCAGGCAGCTGGCAAGCACGTCTTTTTCGGTAAAGATGGTACTCGGAAGACCTCTCAATTGGCACAGCCGGGGAGCTTGAAGAGAGCATCGCTTGCGAACGTGGACGAAACGTGTCAAAGAGGTCATTGACACCTATGATCGAATAGGCGGCCCATGCTCCTTTGGACTTCTTTTGGCTCATGCATTGTTGACATCCTTGGGGACTGCGCCTTCAAAAAGCATCTAAGCTGTTCATTTTTTTGGAGCTGGAGACTGGTCGTGCACTTTTTCTTGATGTTGCTTCTCCATTTCGCACTGCCCCAGTCCCCTGTTCTTTTTGTTCCAGCCTTGCTGTGAGGGGTTCTCAATTCTTGCATCTCAACGATTCTGGGCCAAGATGATCTCTGGCCTTTTGTCTCTCTTTGTCTCCCCCCTTCTCTCTCTCTCTCTCTCCTCTCTCTGTGTCTGTCTTTCTGTCTTTCTTTCTCGGTACTCCTTGCACCGAATTCTCCTCCAGCCATCGTCCCTTGTACGAACCCGCAACCGGGTCCCGAATCGACCCCATACCGACGAGGCAACTGGAGTACCTCCCCTCTCTCTCTCAGCCATGGCTCATCTGGGCTGAGATGATTCTGCTTTGTCTTGCGTTTTTTTTCTGATTGGATGTTCCAACGAAATCTTTCAAACTCTTTTCGAACTGGGACCCCGGCTTGTCACCTCCCGCCTCTCGGACTTCGGACTAGCCGATTCGTGGGTTGCTTTTGGCGCCCGAGGCTCGCGGAGGAGCTGCGAAGTGAAGAGTTCGGGCCAGAAGGCAGGACGTTGCGAGGGGGAGAGAGAGGGAGCGATTGGATGCTCCCCCCCCCCCCAACTCTTTTCGTCGCGGAACAACGGCCGAGTCCGAGCGAGTCCACCCGCCCCACGGAACTTGCCAAAAAGACCGTCCTCACCGTACTGTACCATACCGATACCTACTTGATTCTCCTCTATTCACGCCTATCTTGAACCTAGCGACCAGTCATACAGTCGTCCATTTTTCAGTTCGGTCGTTGTGCCGTTTCGGTCTCCTGCCGACTCTGAACAGAGACGTCGGGGGGGCGAACGAGGAGACCGAGCCAGCTTTTTGGAGCAAGTGGCTCGCGACTTGGTGGGGCTTCCCAGGGAGCATCTGGTCCCAGGTGGCGGGAGTCGGGGAGATTCCCACCAAAACCACTTAGTAAATAAATACTTTGTAAAGGACTCAGAAGGTGAAAAAAGGAAAAACACTTTCTCCCAGCACCTTCAAAGGGGTCACCAATGGAAGCCCCTACACTACTAGGGGACAGGACACCCCTTGAAGGTCCAGGTCCCAAGGTATCTCAATGGGCCTCAAGGCCACTCGGCACCGGGCTGAGGCCACGCGCGACTCCTCCGACGCGCAAGTGAGCCGCGCGCGGATCCACGAGAAGCACCAGAAGAAGCGGCGCAAGGAGCGCAGCCAACGTGGTGCGAAGATTCCGGACGAGGATGGAGGCGCAGACTCCGAGTTTCATGTGGAAAACCCGAGACCATGGGCCACATGGGCCATGGGTGAAGATGAGAGTAATGATTGGGTGCAAGAAACAGATTGGTAGATGCTACAAGCGTGAGGTTTGGAATGGTTTGGATCATTGTGGATCCAGTTAAGAGGTGGCAAATCTGGGAAGTTGAAGGGGTAATGATGGGTTTTCAGTTAGTGTCCTACGTTGCCCTACAAAAGTTGGGTCTCAAAGACGCTTTGAGGAGCGCTTAGCTTCTACAATTCGACTTCGGGCTCACCCGCTGTGCACCCCTTTGCTGGGACCCATGGTTTCCCATGGTTTCACACAGGGGGGTTGTCCAGTTGTCCAGGCATATCAGGGTATTTCCTGCCGTAATGGCATGGGAATAACAACCTAGACAGACTGTCCAGGCATATCACTGCCAGTCTCCGGGGGGGGCCATGTCCCGAAAACCGGTCGACCATGGCGACCGGGGTGTCGATCCCGGATGCAGCGCCTGGGAGCGTGAAGAGGCTCCGACTTGAAGACAGTTCTTCAATGTTCTTCAGACATTTTAAGACAACCTTCTTTGCACTTCACCCCCTATATGCCGACTATGCCCGATTGTAAATCCGTGGCTACTTGCCTCAGGCCTCTTGAAGGAGGCCCGTAAAAGGTCACTTAGAAGGTCATGGTTACCGTTACCTATGGATTCAAACATGTCATAAGTCCGTAGTATAAGCCCCTGCGACTGCCAGGTGAGCGCGGCGAGCGCAGCTCACCCTCACGCTCACCGTCGCCCAAGCCAAAGAAGCTCAAGGAAGCACCGAAGTCCAAGCCCACTGAGGCTTGGTTCGGGGTGGGCAGCTGTCAACCACGGTTTTGCATATTGCTTGTTGCTTACAGGAGAATCTGCCGGAAAGGACGCTTCCACCCCAAAACACATGTATTACTCTTTTGTAAATTCATGCCTGCACATTTCGCTCCGTAGAGGGAGCGGTACCACTCGGTAAACTGAAAGAGAGGCTCAGAGCTGAGGCAGCGATTCAGTACTACTAATGCAGACCCTTCCAAGTACCAGTTGTCATAGTCGCTTTTGGTCAGAAACGGGCCGTTTCTGCCAGTCCTACGTGGCTCAAATCGCCAGTTGCTTCGTGGCTCGCCGCGTTTCTCCTTTCATCACCCGTTGGCCCTCTGGTTGTCGCCACCCTTTACGACCCCATCGCGTGGGCGCAGTGTGGTCGTTTCTTCCGCAGGCCGAGCGACCTGCGGTGCAGCGGTCCAGCGTCGGGGATGACTTGGGAGACCTGGAAAAGCAGGCCGAGGGATGAGGGCGAGGCCATCGCTACTAGGTTGGAGGCCATTTCTATTAGGTTGGAGGGGGGTTGCGTGGGGTCGAACGGTTCGGGCAACGTCTTGCGGCTTCGGGGAGACAATACTGGTTTTGGGGGTGGAGTCTGGCAGGAGTTTGTAGAGGTGGGGAGAAGAATTCTGGTGGACTTGACGTTTTCTTGGTGAACGCAAACGACTTGGTCCAGACGAGTTCATCAGAGGCTCTTTGCAAGGAAGCGATTGAATTGAAGTGACAGGCCTTGAGCAAGCTTGGCGGCCTCTTCTCGTGACGGTGATTTATTTTGCAATTGTTTCACCTCTTTTTTCTCACCCTAGCCAAAAGAAGCTGATGAACAGGCCGGCTCTACCGTCGTCCAACAGCATGCAACACATGACCAACCCCATTGATGCCGTTTGATTCAACGCGAGCCGCTTGCGGCTCAAGCCAAGAAATCATGGACGCTTTTGTGGCGCAATGGCAGGTGCTGTTCGCTTCTCAGATGGTATCAGAGATCGCTGCGGTTTAAAGATGTTTAAAGTCATGGACTTCCCCAGTCTCAGAGTACTCCGCCGCGCTGGGATTCATGACTGCAGTCATCCCAAGACGACCGCGAGCTAGCACACTGTGCGAGCTAGCAGCCGCAGCAACCACATCTGACCAAGGCCCAAGCCAAGCGCAAGAAGTCTCCACCATGAGGCCGCAACCAAAAATCCATGGTGATTCCGGATTTCTCAGGGTCCCTCGCATCCAAAACCCGTACACCCTGGAAGACAATCCCATGGACCCTGGAAACCACTGGTTGGTAGAGGAAAACACTCGGACCCAGGGGGCCATTGTCAGGGTCTATGTTAGTTTTCGGGACTGTAAGCGAAACATGTTTTTTCCCGTCGACGAAGCTTGAACTTGGGAGGGGTGACTCATGGTGAGTGGGGGGGGAAGGAATCACGTCAAAATTTGGTCTGAAAAATAAATTACCTCGAGCCCTGACACGACCTTTGTTTTGGTAGGAAGAGATCCTATTTTGGGTGGTTGATGATCCAAGATCGAGGTCACACAGGTCTACTCTACTCGATGACATGACCGTAGCCCCGAACAAACATGAGACGAGGGACTGTCTTCTCCCACCGAGAGAGGGTGTTTTGTGCAAAGCGACTCGCCCTGTCTCAGAACGCAGACGGTCACAGAGACATGAAGAAAGGTCCATGCAGATGGGCCAGGTCGATTCATGACCAACCGTGGTGTTTGATTGAATATGTATTGGCACCGTTTCAGCAGTGCCCGGAAGCACTGACCCGAAAATTCGGGAAATGAGGATTTCGACAGAGGAGGTTCAAGTGTTCTTCAAGTCAGGAAGCAGGAGCCACATGACAGTGGGCCCCAACAAGCAGGGCCGAATCCAACATGACAGTGGGCCCCTTCGTTTCCCACGGATGCAGGAAGCGGAACGTGGACCCAGACCTACTGGATTGCTTGGAGCCATCCCAAGGTCCAAGTTGGATGGGTTGAGTAGACACCATCCCAAGCATTCCATCACCGGACCTCAGGGACTTCAGAAGGACCATTAGCGCTTCAAGCGGTGACTCTTTTGATCAGGATCACTCGGCAGGTGCGCGGGCTCGGACGAGAGAATCCTAACCTGGCAGGGCTCCTGAAAACTGGAGGAGCCTTGGCAACGCTTTATCAAGCATCTCAGATGAATTTTGGATACTCAACATGTGGCTGAAACATAAGGTTTTACACGAAAACTCTGATGATGTCCAAGAGAGATCAAGAGAGTCTGGCTGTAAGATTATGAATATAAGGTCCGGATTCATTGCACAGCGGGTGAATAGCACAGCCTGCCATTGTGGATTTGTTAGTTGCGGACACCATCGATCATTGATTCCACATTCGTCAGCATCCAAGGCATCCCGGCTTCTGAGTAGGACTGCATTGCAGGCCTGAAAGCTCAATCATGAGGAGCATTTACTTTACACTTTTGAGCCATACTCACACAGGTTGCGTCCAAGATCCGAACTCTTAAACGGCCGATGTTTGAAACGGCTTCTGGTCTCGGTCGAGGGTTTCAGGGTTCCGCACGCCCTCGGGGGGACACAGGTGCGTCGCAGACCTCTGCCAATTGTGCGAGAGAAGCAAGTGGTGGCCACAAAGCCACTCAGCCCAGCAATTTTGAATTCGGGATGATTTCCGCCCTCTGTTCTTTGGTAAGGGCACGGGGCCCTTTTTTTGAGGCGGTTGATGCTGGATGTCAGTTCCAGCTTTATGACCTTGATTAAAGCTACTGTAACTCTAATGAATCACGAAGTCATAAAAAGTGCAATCACATTACACAAATAAAATACAAAAATGATACAAACGAACCTACATAAAAATAGGGCACACGGTTCATAATGAGCATGAACACTAGATTGCTGCCTGCAAGAAGCCTTGCAAGAGAAGAACGCCCTCAACAGGAGCCCTCCTTCAAACACCACAAACCTTTAGAAGCCTTCAACAGTTTGCACATAGAATGGAACTTGTGCTGGGCCGTGTGTACTTCAATGTTGTTGGCATCCACTTTCGAAGACAAGATTTTCAATCAAGAGCAGGACGCCTGTGTCCAAACTCTGTAAGATTAAAATCCACGAACAGCATGTAAATGATTCTTGTCCCTGCTCTTGAGCATATATTCAAAAGCGGTCCGCAAGACCTCGTTTGCCTTTTGTGCTGGGGTTTCCCAAGGGTATTTGCGCTCCTCTTTTGTCCTATATTTTGTATTTGTTTCCTATTTTTGTTCGTACGTGTTCGTATTGCTTTCCTCCTAATGTTTTCGTACCTTTTGTTTCTCCTATTTCTTCCTATTTTTCATATTGTTTTCCTGTGTTTTCCTATTCTTTTTCGAGGGCAATAGGAAACATGCAAAATCAAGACAAAAGGAAACACAATACGACCAAATACACAAACGACAAATAATACAAATTAACAAAGGGGAACAATCATAGGGAAAAATATTCAATGAAGGCCTTGTTATGACCGCTCTTCACTTGAAGTCTTACTGAGATGACCTGGCATTCCTTGTTGCTTTCCTCTGGCTGGCTAGTAATTACTGGATAGGACTTATACTCAAAATATCCTGGTCTATTCTCAATGCGTGATCTTTGCTTTGTTGTGCTCGCCTTTGTCTATGCCACATGCAGCCTCTACTTGGGTTTCAATCAGTGAACAGTTAGCTGTTGCAGTGGCTCTGACAAATGCCGTGTTCCCTTTCTTCCTCTGGAAGTGCTGGTTTCTATCGCAGACTGTCCAGTCCGCTTGTGTTTTTGTGTGACGGTCCTATGTTCATTCCTTTTTTCTCCTATTTTTTTGTTATTTTTCTTTGCATTGTTGTCTTAACTTCTTCAGACTTTGCTTCTTAGGTAGCTCACAAATCCAGCTTTTGGAACTGCTTGCGGATTTGGGTTTTCGGCCACGAAAGCTTCGGTCAGAGACTTTCAAAGCCGGTGGCCTCTCACTTTCCGGCCTCAGGCGCTTGCCCTTGTGGCAACTCTCCGACGAGATGTGCCCCGAGTTCTGGGGGGAACGGGACCCAAAACTCGCGCGAGGAGGTACTCGTAGGAGATGGTAGGATCTTGGCAGCGGATCAAGCACAAGCAGCGGTCTCTCTACGGGAGTTTTCGTACACACTTTGACACGAGTTATCCCGCCATGTTTCGACACAAGTACCCAACTCGTGTCGGTGTCAGGTACATGCAGCGGCAAGTGTCACCGGATCCCAGCCTGTCTTGGACGGAGGTCCATTCGGTCGCAGATTTGTCGAAAGCAAGCACCCAAAAGAAGTTTGTCAAGAAAGTGTTTGGCCGTCCAAGAGCATCCCAAATCCCATTTCACCTTCGTCTTGGATGTCTTTCACTGAGAGATGATGAGAGATGGCCCCGGACCCAATACCGATACTCACTGCCTTCTCTTCGGCCGAGCTGACATCGGGCCGGAGCTGTTTGACAGGTGCGACGTGCCCAAGCGCGAATGAAGGAGCAGGTGATGGCGAGGAGCCTCAGTGGTTCAGAGTGGAGGCCGGTGGAGGGTCCCATGGCTGCAAAAAAGAGTCAACAAGGAGCTCCAAAGGAGGCAGACCCTTGATATCCTTTGATATCTGCGAGCCTTGTTCTCGAGATGGCCAAATCGCCGGAGTCTGCTGAAGCGACCTGGGCACCACCTTGGTGGTGCGTTGTCCGTGCGACGGGTGAGGCCGTTTGGTTTGGATGGTCCGAGGCACAACAATACATCGACTTCCGGCACATCGAGCGTGAGCTGGGAGGCTTTCGTTTGCAACCGTCTGCCTGGCCGTTTATTTATATATATATATATTTGTATCATATGTCTATGTTTTCCGCTGGATTTTTGAGAAAGGCAAACCTTCGGCCTTCGAGTGATTTTTGGGACGCTGAACGGTGTACTATGTGGCATCTCTCTTTTTTGGGGCAGCCAACGCTAAATGGGGGAGCCAATGCGTGTTGCTTGTCTGGAAAAAGAACGATCGCTCGGGGGATCGACGACGGCTGCCAGGAGATATCACATCAGCGAACTTCGTGCTGGCATGTGGCTCGAGGCGGGGAAAAGAACGACCTTTTTGCAGCACCATTGTTCCAGGTGCGTTTTGGTTCCATTTTTGACACCGTCGTCCTCATCTCACTGACGAGACCTGTCTATCGGGATTTGATTCTGTTGACCGGTTTTCCTTCATCTAATCATGCGTCCTTCTTTTGCGTACGTGCCAGTACGGCCGGTACGTCTCCCGTGCCAGGGCCGGGTCTCCCGAAGCAATGACAAAGGAGTCATGGTGGATGTGGGCGCCTATACCGAGCAGGGCGAGTGGGTGGACGGTTTTCTGCACATGGGCCAAATCAAAGATGACGGTGGCTACGTGCCACAGGCCGCGAAGCTTTTGAGATTTAATTGAGTAAGGGAGAGGTAGCTAGTATAGCTTAAGTAGCTACTACAGTATGGACGCAGGATAGCTCACGCTTCTTCAAGGAAGCTTCCCCCGCCGCCCTTTTTTACTTCAAGGAAACTCCCCCGCCGCCCTTTTTAAGGGCGGCGGGGAAGCTTCCTTGAAGAAGCGCTCGCACTTATGATTTTATTGCTAGATTTTCAGGGAAACTTAAACTGTGTGTGCTGGCCAAGAAACCTTTGACGCGACCACCGCACGACCGCGGTCGCGCGACATGGCAAGGGCAAGATTATGGACTTCGTGCATCTTGGGGAGTATGTTCGTGTGAGAGTCGTCGAATGCGTCCCATCCACGGGCATCCTGCGACTGTCCATGAGGGCAGAAGAAGACGCTTGGATTGGTAACATCAGAC